TGTGTGTGTGTGTGTGTGTGTGTGTGTGTGTGTGTGCGTGCGTGCGTGCGTGCGTGCGTGCGTGTGTGTGTGTGTGTGTGTATATGTAAAAAATTGCAAATCTCCTAGGGAAATTGTTCTATTTTGGGGAAAAAACATGGTAATTTTGACTGATTAAAAATTTCCATCCACAATCTTTACCCACTTCTTCCTTTCTGGGTCATGGGGGGGGTCACTGGTTCCCATGTCCAGCAGTCACTGTGTGAGAGGAGGGAGACGCCCTGGATAAATCTCCAGTCCATCATACGGCCACATAGAGACAACAAAGACAAACAACCATTCAGTCTCTCACTCACACCTAGAGACAAGTTAGAGTTACCAATCAGACTAACATGCATGATTTTGGTCTGTGGGAGAAAAACGAGAAGTGAGTCCAATCATTCATCAAACTTCAGATCCAGGAGGAACAACAACTGGCCATGGAACACTGGACCAGCTCCTTACCCGGAGTATTGGAGAAACCCTTGGAGAAAACTCACCTGTGGTTCTTGGCCCTCAGCTGCTCTCACACACCTTCCACCACTTGCCTCTGCAGACTGCCTGGTCCTGTCGCTCTTGGAGAAAAACCCTCAGCCTTACTCACCCAACCATCTCGACTCCTACTACTGTAAGAGCCTCAGATTTTGGTCAATCATCTGTTGTATATTACCTGCCAGAAAGTAATCCTCCTCCTCTGTCTCCACAACCCCAGACCCTGCTTGTAAAATAGTTTCCATTTTCACTGTAAATAAACATTTTCAATTATATTTGAGTCTGGTTCTGTTATCCTCAGTCCGTATTATCAAGGTAGTCCTCATTACAACTGCTCCTCCACATCGAGAGGAGCCAGTTGAGGTGGTTCGGGCATATGGTAAGGATGCTTCCTGGGCGCCTCCCTAGGGAGGTCCTTCGAGCATGTCCGACTGGGAGGAGACCCCCCAGGAAGACCCAGGACATGCTGGGGAGACTATGTCTCTCAGTTGGCCTGGGAACACCTTGGAGTCCTCCTTGAAGAGCTGCGGAAAGAAATGTCTGGACCTCCCTGCTCAAACTGCTGCCCCCGAGTCCCAACTTCAGAACAAGGGGAAGATAATGAATGAATGGATGGATGGATGGATGGATGGATGGATGGATGGATGGATGGATGGATGGATGGATGGATGAATAGAAATGTGTAACACGTGCTGAATAGATTTAATTTTAACAAACCTTCCTGGAAAACGTAAGGTGGGAGTGATGGCACAGAGGACAGAGAACGTGAGCCTGTGATTCACCAGCTTCAGTCCCTGGACCAACATCAAAAATGTGGGAGGCAAATGTTAAGTGCCCACACCTGCCTCCGCCCTCATTTGTCCCAATTAACCCCCACCTACTCCCTAGGTTGGACATCCCTTGGATGTCTGTGGTTGCATCAGGAAGGAGATCCAGTGTAAAAACAATTGCCAAGTCTTTGTGCGAGTTTGCTCGCTGAGGCCACCCCTGAAGAAGGGAGCAGCCGAAAGAAAATAAATTAAATTAATGTCAGTATATGAAAGTAACAATTTTTTTCCCATTCCCCATTTGTCACACCCCCTGGATGAACACATCTTTCCCATTTTATTTAACATTTTAAATCACATTGATCACAGATCTCATTGCAAGGCCTGAAGGCAGCCTATTTTTTTTTTTTTTATTATTATTCTATTAATTCCCAATGGGGAAGTTAATTGTTTTGTATTTTTCCCATTACACATGTGAACACATGTGAAGCAGTGGGCTGCCATCCAAGGCGCCCAGGGAGCAGCTGGGGGGTTAAGGGCCTTGCTCAAGGGCCCAGGGTGGGGCACGTGGGGTGGAGGCAGGTGTGTTTCACCTTTCCCACCCACATTTTGATGTTGTCGGTTCGGGGAGCTGAACCGGGGAGTTGACTTGACTTCATGACAAGTAATGAAGTAATTTTGTATTGAACACTTTTTGAATCCAGTTAATTTAAAACTCTTCCCCAGCTTCTTCTTTATTACTTTCACAGACATTTATTGCTCCCCTTCTCTCTTTTTTGGAGTTGTGTTGCTGCCTTCAAACTCTCAACGAACATTTTGTGTTTCTAAAATTGGTGACCCTGCAGTGATCCGGTAGTCATAGTAACAGTTTTAACCCGCGTGCTGAATAACCCGGAAGTAGTTTTATCCACGCGAATCAGGCTCATTCGAATCGTTGTTGAAACGAAGAACCCGGTGGAGTCGGGCTCAATACAGCTTAAGAAAAAGAGCAAACATCAGTTCTTATAAACAGTCCAGCCATGTAAGTATTGTTGATGATGAGCTACTTGATAGGAAAGCTGTAGTGTTCGTAGTTTTTATTTTTGTTGGAGTTTGTGCGACTCATTGCGTTAGCGGATATGCTAACCTGGATAGCCTTTTCACTGACCGAGGCTAGCTAGCTTGAGTTGTGTTGCTCTTTATCTGATGAAATCCTTGTTTTTTTCATGCCTAACTGTGTCTGATTTGCGTGAATGTTTGTATTAAAAGCTGTAACGTTTAAAACATTTACTGTGACGTTGGTTAGGAGTCGAACACACGGTAAGAGCTGGACTAGACGCTTTCTGCTAAAGGCTAACAAAATGTGGAGCCCTGCTTGTGTCCGATTTTGTTAAATTCAAGTTAGACTTTGTGTGTCTGTGCAATTTTTGTAAACTAGCATGCGTGCAAAACACTGATGTATTTATACTTTCCGTTTAGAAAAGTTGTAAAAATGTGTTTAATCGTTGGCATTGTGTCACAAAAAATAATTAATTTTATTATTTCTGAATTTTGTTGTCTTATGAAACTGTTGTATTTAAATTCAGTTCAAGGTCATTTGTTTATATAACACAACTTCACAACAAAAGTAATCTCAACTATACAAACAAGTCCATATATCAAATCCAATTCAATGCTAGTTTTATCATGTTATAATAATCATGTTATAATACGAACAGTCAGTTACTTTTAGTCAATACAATTCATTGCAAATATACCGAAACAGTTCATATTTTATATATAGTGTATATATCTATAGTGCAATAGTTTTCTGTTTGAACAAATTAAATTAAGATAAAGTCCATCCATCCATCCATTATCTTTACCCGTTTATTCCATTTTGGGTCACGGGGGTCGCTGGTGCCCATGTCCAGCAATCACTGTGCGAGGGGCGGGGTACACCCTGGACAGGTCGCAAGTCCATCACAGGACTTGTCCACATAGAGACAAACGAGACAAACAACCATTCACTCTCTCACTCACACCTAGGGACAATTTAGAGTTACCAATCAGCCTAACATGCATGTTTTTGGTCTGTGGGAGGAAACCGGAGTACCCGGAGAAAACCCACGCATGCACGGAGAGAACATGCAAACTCCACCCAGAAGGCCCCTGGACCGGGGTTTGAACCAGGGACCTGTTCGCTGAGAGGCAGCAGCTCTACCAGTTGCGCCACCGTGCTGCCCTTAAGATAAAGTCATGGAACAATAAATGTTAAAAAATTTAAAAATAAGGGGCAGAGAAAAAATACCCCAGGACATATAGCAGGTCCTCTGTGTGCAAATGTAATTAAACTTGTATGATTTGTTTTGATTTTTAGGAGTCTGTTAACGAAACCCAAATCTGAGATGACTCCTGAAGAGCTGCAGAAACGTGAGGAGGAAGAGTTCAACACGGGGCCCCTGTCTGTGCTCACCCAGTCAGTGAAGAACAACACTCAGGTCCTCATCAACTGTCGCAACAATAAGAAGCTGCTCGGGAGGGTCAAAGCTTTTGACAGGTACAGTAATCGACCAGCTTATTAAATACACCTGAAGGGATGAATGAGGCTACTGTTTTTTAGTCAAGTGTCAGATTTGTGCAGAAAAGTACAATTTGGGGTATATGGCATTTGAAAATCATATATATATATATATTTTATTTTTTAACGACTGAACGATCTTGTTTATCATTGTCTGAGATGGTGAATCTGTTCTGGACCTGATTAATTTTAACATAGTGAAGACAAGACCAAGAAAATTTACTTTTTAATACTGACATGGAAAAAGAAAACTTCTTGCAGTATACTGTTGACTTGGGTTGCATATTTTATTGCAAATATTTTTAATCTTAGTAGAAAACTTGGTCGCTTTTCAACAAACTGCTAAAATGCTTTTAGTGGTGTGCTTAAAAATACAGCATAGAGCAAAACTCAACAGTTTTATACATCAAAATAGGACATTTAAAAGATTGCTTTTATGAACTTTCAGAGCTTTAATCATGCTCATGAAAAACGAGCATTGTAAAAAAAAAAAAGAGAAAGCCTTTAAATTTGTTTGGAATTACTCATGTTTTGAATTAATATATTTTCCCTATCCACCTGACCACCGCTCCAAACAGAAGACCAACTTACAGCAGTTCATGGTTCTCAAAATATTGCTTTATTCATCTTTTACTCATGGAGAACGAATTACTATTACACAAGTGTGAGCACGATAGCAAACTGTTTAAAAAGTACATAAGTACCTGTACTCTGTCAGTATATCTGACAGAGTACAGGTACAGTACAGAGTATATCATAGGCTCTACTTAGAATAAATTTTGGTAGCAGAAAGATGTTGGGATGCTCAAAAAAATGTTTTCTTTTAAGGAATGGGCTGTACGTGCAGTGTTAAAGAAAAAAAAACTGACTGAATAATCACTTTAAGGAAATTATTTGATGCGTCTCTACCAGGTATGGGTGTAAAATAAAAAAAAGATGGTCATGGCAGTTCCCCAAACTTTTTAAATTATAAATTATTTAATAATACAGTTGTTTCTCGCTTATCAGGGGGGACCCGTACTCTGAAGCCCCGCAATAAGTGAAAAACCTTGAAGTAGGAATAGTAGTACAAGTAGTAAGTAGTACTGGTAGTTTATTTTAGTGTATATATATATATATATATATATATATATATATATATGGTGTTTTAAAACCTTCCCACACTCTTGCAATATTCTAAACAATGTTTCTTAACTCTAAACGCTCTAAAAGATCACAGCATGTCATGATTTCAGCGCTGTGCCTCCAGCTGCACTCTGCCACCTGCCAGCGCTCTTTGCCACGCCCACTTCTCCACTGCAGAGTGGAGATCAGCTGATCAGCTGCAGGAGGAAGTTTCTCCTGCAGTGTGGGCTGCATAAAGGTGCAGCAGGTGCTAAATAATTTAAAATAATTTATTTTAAATAAAAATTCCATGCCGATCATGCGGCTCATCCATCAGTCAGCCAATTTGTTTGTCATGTCCAATCTTATTTTGAAAAACCGCAAAGTAGCGAGGAACTACTGTACAATAATATATATTAAGTAATAATAATAAGTATATTTACCTTTTTGGAAAGTAAAAAACACAAATTCACACTGATGTTTTGTGTGGGTAAATTACTTTCTTCCCAAATCCAGTCTGTGAACGTTTTTGCAACATCAAAAATTTTGAAAGGGTTTTATATAGTTTATATTCTGTGTATAGTGTATAACTTGGTAGGATTTTATATTAAAAAAAAATCTGTCCTTTTTACTATTTCAGGCATTGCAACATGGTCTTGGAGAACGTGAAAGAAATGTGGACCGAAGTTCCTAAAAGTGGGAAGGGAAAGAAGAAGTCGAAGCCCGTAAATAAAGACCGCTACATTTCTAAAATGTTCCTGAGGGGCGACTCTGTGATCGTCGTGCTGAGAAACCCTCTGATCACAGGAAAATGAACTCTTTAGCGGTTCCCTGCTGGAATGCATTGAAGTTTGAATCAAGTTGTCGTGATAGTCTTTTTTTTTTTTTTTTTTAACTTTTTTGTTTTTGGAAACCTGTCAACAAATTGATGTTTCCACTTTTGAGATAGAGCAAAACAGTTCCTCGTTTCTGCTGCTTCTTTTTTTTTCATTTTAATAATAAAAGTAAAAAATAAATCCATATGTCATTCTGGTGTTTACTAACTTATAGTTTTCACGTTTCTTATTCTCTCACTACAAGTACGTTACACTTGACCCTGTTTCATGACGCCCCGTCAGCCCTTTCTCCATCAGATAAATATTTGAAAATGGAGAAATGCTTTTTTATTGAGTTTTTGCCGGTCTCTTCCTCTCTCACACTCTCCCCCACTCTCCCCTGACAGCATCTTGGGTGTCGGGCTTGATTTCAGTTAGCAGAGCTCAAAATGTGACAAACTGCCATTTAAAGGCCTGTTGCATTATTGATGAGACCAGATGTGCTGACTGTCACTTCACACCCTCACTTCTCCATTTCAGGCTGTTCCTCTGCCGCTCGGCCCCATCCGACCACTTTTAATTGTCTTAATAAGTGAACAGCAAGTGTCTCGTTACATCTGTAAGTCAGCATCCCACCACTCCTTTTGTGCTCTTGGGTTTAGTGGTTTAGTATAAGTAAATACTCGTGTATTTTAAAGCTTTAGAAAATTGATTGCTATTGATTTCAGGATCAGTTTTAATGTTCCTTCTGGTTTTATCTGCTAGCTTTGTTTTTAGGATGCGACTGTTTGTCCACAAACTGTGTATTTGCAAGCAGCCCTGACTTAGTAAAAGTTTTTGACTGATTAAACTTTCTCTGCTAATGCTTTTGAGCTCACAAGGCCAGCATCTGTAGAATCTGTGCAGACAACACCTTCTGCCTGATTTGCTGCTACCAGAGGGAGAACTACACAAGAACCAGTCGAAGCACTGAATTTTAATACAGCTATTCTGCGAAAATGTTTCAATAAGTAAAAAACACTTTTGCTTAAGGCAAGACATTTTAGGAGATGAACTGGAGCTGAAACCAGCCTCTAGGTATCAGGAAGGGCTTCGGTGTAAATCACCAAAACAAACATGCAAGTTCATCCAATAGATGCTACTGGAACAGACAAGACCATGAGGAGATTATACCAGGAGGCCGAGAGATAACGGGAAGATCAAAAGTAGGATGGGGGCTAATGGAGAAGTGTGCTGGTGCCAATTTATAACAAGTATGTTCAGAGAGTTGTAGCATCTACATGGAAATTTAGTTGAGCCACAGGATGAAGATCTGGAAGAGAGTTGTGGAAGCTACACTTAGACAAGAGGTAACTGAGCAGCAGGATGGTTTTATACGAAGAAAGCACCACAAATGCCATCTTTGCTTTGAGGATGTTGACGGAGAAGTACAGAGAGGGTCAGAAAACTCCATTGTGGATTTAGAAAAAAACGACAGGGTGCCGAGGGAGAAGGTGTGGTATTGCATGAGGAAATCTGGAGTGGCAGAGAAGTTTGTTAGACTGGTACAAGACGTATGAAGACAGTGGTGAGATGTGTTGTAAGAGTGACAGATTGCCTCAAGGTGGAGGTGGGAGTGCATCAAGGATCGGCTCTGAGCCCCTTCTTGTACTATGAGGTCAGGCAGGAATCCTCGTGGACGATGATGTTTGCAGATGACATTGTGATCTGTGGTGAGAACAGGGAACAGGTGGAAGAGAACTTGGAGAGGTGGAGGTATGCACTTGAAAGAACAGCCATATAAGACGGATCTTGTGAACGGTAGGGAGGCTGGTGGAGCAGTGAGGCAGCATTCTGGGACAAAGCCTGGCACAAGCTGCTGCTGGGCGTCTCTGGAGATGCCTGATATAAAAGCAACTTTGAGGATCTACTGTAATTTGTTCATCAGACAGTTTCTTGTGTTACTCCACTCATCCCAAATACACTCCAAGAAGCCTCTATTTCTTCAGATTTTTATTTGTGTGTGTGTGGTGGAGGGGGGGTGGGATTGAAACAGATGCTTGAGCAGGAAGGCAGATGTTTTATTCAGTAGGTAAGTGATAACAAGGAGAAGTTTGATTATGATAGAGATCGGCCGTACAAAGATACTCAGCCCTCGGGGCAACGCGACACCCCGTGGGGCATAGATTGGGCTCCAGTAACCGGAGTCGTCGTGCAGTTTGTTTTCAAGCAGAGCGGCGGTCCCGGGTGTCAGAGCTGATGGGTCTGGGTGGAGGGGGTGTAGGTGTCAGCTCAGCGAATACAAACACTGTCTTTCCTCATCTCACTTAAGTCACAGAAAGGACAAAGCTGCAATGAAAACAAGGAGGATCAGGTGCAAGGACCCTCAGAGCTCCTAAACAAGTGTGATGTTCTGATGGACTTTATAGTTTTACTATGATCATTAAAATGTATGATGATTTAGATTAATGCTGTGGTCATAGTCAGGATTTTCTTCCGTGGTCCGTGTTTGTGCAGCAGACATTAAAAAAAAATATATATAATAAAAAAATATTTTTAGCCTGTTCTAAAAAGGTTTCAAATTATAATAATCTATTTAAAAATGCATTTACCTCTAAACTGTTTTTATTAAACAAACCTATATATTGACTTGAGTAAATTTCATGTTGTCTGGGACATTTAAAATAATATATAATTTCTTGCTATTCAAGTTCAGGTCAACTTTATTGTCGTTTCCATCATGTGGTACAGTGGAGACTGGTGTGGTTTGCTCCCGGGGGGGTCACAACAAAAGTCGTCTCAGAGCACTGAACAGAAATATTATTCAGACATAAAATAAGTCATCAGAAATGTTCGTATTAAAAAAAATAATTAAACATTATTTATCTGAGGAGCAGACTGTTTTGAGTTTAACTCCATCACAGAACTCTCATCTTGAGCAAACATGAAGGCAACATCTATCGATGGATGGATGGATGGATGGAAGGATGGATGGATGGATGGATGCTTTACATCACACAACCTGATAAACGCTTTGTGCAAAATCAGCTTATTGTTAACTGATCATAACAAACAAAGACTAAACTCATGCAACCAGAAATTACAGCATATATCTACATATAAAACACACAAAACAAACCACAACAAGCTTTAAGCATTAACCTTTAATTTAACCATTAAGTATACAATCTAATTATGACATAAAGTGGAGGATTTACCTGCAGGTACCTCCGTACAGGTGAACATGTGGTACTTCCTGTTTATCATTGTTGTATTCAGCTTCTCATGATGTCGGCCACAGGGCTTTACCATCTTTTACATTTTTCCAGACTCAGTTTAGATTTTGGAAATTGATTAAACTTTATTATATCCTCTAAATCGGGGCTATTCAACTAAACTGCTCAGGGGCCGGACATCCAGCAATTAAAGTCATTATGAAAATAAAACAAGTATTAAAATGATGTGTTACATTTTAAATCTGTTTATTATGTTGCATTGATTCATAAATGCAATATATAGAACCCAAAACTGCCCAAAAATAAATAAATAAATAAATAAAATTAACTTTACTTTCAGGGGTACTTGAACACCTCCAAAAAGAGGTTCAAATCTTCACTGGTACGTCAAATACTAATTTGATTATCTGACCTTTAATCTGTGACATTTGTATTATATTTAACAAAAAAATAAAAAAAACTTTTTCTTTAATAATGCAAAGCTCAATTATTTTACAAAATGTAATGTAATAATAATTTAAAAATTGGTAAAATTCACATTGACATATAATTTTTCCTCCACTTTACTAAAAAGTAATTAAACACCAGAGAACAGATTTTCCGTTTAGGCCACAGACGTACAGCCAATCAAACCACCGTCACATGCAAATGCAACGTTTGTGCGCAAAATCTAAAATGCATGTAGGAAATGAAGTGTAATCACTTTGTCAGCCTGAGCCAGCGCACATGCACCTTTTTAATAGGCAACAAATACTTTGTTTTACGGGGAGGGGCTTTAACTAAAACATGACCAGATGTACTGTAAAAAGAAGATATAGCTCTTACGAGGTGACTGAGTGAAAGAGAAGGAAGATTTTCTCACGAGGAAATAAAAAAGGCGAGCAGTGGCACGCCTTTGGGAGCGCCTTGGACAAGATGGATTATGAAGTGGGTCATATGGCAGAACATATTCTACTTCAAAAGTAAGTGGAAACCTTTTATAAACTGATGCTGTTTGTTTATTATTGTTTAGCTGTAAATACTTTTGGAAAAAGTAAGGAAATGTGCTCTTTCTGTCGTGTTTTCAGCTGCATGTGGTGCTGAGGGTGACGTGTGTTTACATGCCTCCTTACTTTATTCATAACTTACTGTATTTTAATCATGCTGAGTAAATCAGGACATAGAATATGAATCCTGTAGTTTAGAGCCCTCACTGTATGTTGAAGCATTCAGGAGTCACTGCTTTATGATGTTGGTGTCCAACTGGACACTTTGAAATGTGCATGGACATACTCTCATAGAAATATGTCCAGAATAATCATTTTTGTTGCTATTGTTAACAAATTTGAAATGATAATAGGTAAGACTTGATGCCGCAGCCTTGTATAATGTTCTAGTCCATAACTCCATCCCTCCATATGCATAAACATCCATCATCCATTATTTTCACCAACTTTTTCCATGTCCAGCCATCACTGCAAGAGGAGGGGGACACGTTGGACAAGTCTCCAGTCCATCGCAGGGACACATAGAGACAAACAACCATTAACTCTCTCACTTACACCTTGGGACAATTTAATGACCAATCAGCCTAACATGCATGTTTTTGGTCTGCGGGAGGAAACTGGAGAACCCAGAGAAAAGCCAATAATTTAAAAAATTCAGATGAGAATTTTTAATGATTTTTGTGTTTCAACTTCAATAACTAAATACTAGTTAGTTACAATATTTATGACAAAATGTCAGGGTGTTAGCTTTACAGAAAGACCAAGTTTTGAATTTACTCCAAAGGGTTCAAGAACAGCATTTAATTTAATTTGGGAATGTTAATTCAGGCTTTTTCTGCCTCTTGTTTGGCAACACTTAAGTAAAAAACAGAAACATATTTGAAGATGTAAATAAGAAAATAAATACATAGATGTATTTTACTCTGTTACTTGTT